TTGAGTTGCAGGGGCGGTTTCATCTCTAATGTAATCGCGCTTAATACTCATCAGATTCGCTATTTTACTAATAATTAATCCTAAATATTTCCAATTCATCGCCAGCCAGAATTTGCACTTTCGCCATTTAATATCAATCCTGCATCAGCTAACGACGAAAAAACTTCCTTAAATGTTCAAACATGGTGAGTGAATGATGGAGATGAGATTATCACATCACATCCGCTACACATTCATTCCTATCACCGGTTTTAGGATTATGTCAATTGCCTTTTGAAAATTAGGGCTGCTCCTGATAAACCGAATGGCATCCTTGAAAGCATAAGTGCCACTTTTACTACAAATGCGGTCTTAACAATATCGCACAGAGTTTACTGCCGTTTTGAGAAAGTACACTTCTTAGATCAGAGATGACATTATTGTTGTATGTAGGATGTTCGTTAATAAATCATCTATTAACGGTAAAGGGTATCGCGGATACTTTGGATCGAATTTTATTTTCTATAGTCTACTGCAAATCTATTATGCTTCCGGATTACCCGGTGGTAACCCATTATTTTTCTTGCATAACACAACAGGTGACGCGTATGGGGATTGAATTGGAACAATCGTTTCCTCTTGTAACATTTTTTTTGTATGTGAACATCTATTTTGCTTGCTTAGTCCGGTCATACCTATACGGCCTTGAAGCTACTGGTGGGTTATCTCCGTGTCAATTTCATGGTATAAAACATGGTAAGACCTGGTTTGTCTGAAAATAACCCTTTAAAACTACTAAACAAATTTTGTAGTTTTTGTTTTCTCCCCCCCAATTTTGTCTTAGATAAATCTATCTCAACCTTTTCCCTCTTTAATTGGTTCAACCACCTTATTTATTTGAGAATCTGGAATTTTCAACGATTTTTGATCAAAATCTAATAATATCTTTGACCTAATTTATAAATCAATACCAAGAATGTATATGGTATTCTAAATCTGGCTGCTTCAACACATGTCCAACCAACCTCCCCAAACCCATCCCAACTTATAGCTTGGCATTTCGCACCCTGTGCCAGCACATCCCGGGCTCGCGATTTTTAATTTGCTTATAGAAAAATATTTTCTATATACTCTCTTCCGATATATCGATTTATCTGCTCCGGTGTGTCCCATAAAGGCTTTCAAAAAATGTGTTATTTAATAAAATAGGAACGTGGGGAAGTTCTACGGGTGATATACATATCGGAGAAAGCTTAATTGTTTCTCTTTTCGATATTTTTGAGGTTGATCTTTAACCTTTACAATATTTAATCGTCCCCTTTTATGTCCTATCATCGCCTCGCTGACTGAAATTTTCACTGAACCCCTATTTCACGGTCCCCTCTATTAAAATTATCATTTCTCTCATCATTTCTGAAATGAGTAACCCTCCCTGTTGTTGAATCTCTGATCACTCTGGTGTTGAAATCTATTCTTCTCGAACCCCATTACTTTGACGGCTATTCTCATAAAAATTATTTTTATTGTTATTTGGCCCATGTCCTACTTCAGAATTCTCCAGTTTCTACTCATTAGCATCAAAAATTAGCATCCTATGCGCATTTTGGACTGTCTTTCTATATTATCATTCTGTGAACCCTTTTTAATTTGTAAAGAATATCTCTTCGAATTTAGCTAAGACTTCCAAAAAGTTGTACCGTGTTCTATGGATTGCGCACTTCCACATAATCTTGATTTGTGGTTCGGAGTCGAACTAAAATATGATCCACTCAATCCTGCTTGGGACATTCCTAATTTTAAACTTCTTTCGATTTTAACAGTTATAAACGAAATCAGTAGGTTCCTGGATTTCTTCCCGTTGGACGCGTAAAAATTGTGTTTGTAGTTCTTTTATTTTTGACGGCGGGAAAGCTTTCGCTAATTCAGCCTTTTGAGCTGCGCGAAATCCGCGGCTGTATTTTGCACTAACACCGATCCAAATATCGAGTACCCTCAATCTTGGAGCCCTTCCCCTGAGATGACTTTTAAGTAAGCACATGACAGATTACTTGATTTCAAGTAACTGTATGTTATTCTCATTGTTCTCTTGATAAACTCTGCACAGCCTCTTCTGACCCTGAAAAAATACATTTGTAGTACAGTACCTCCACCTACATTACCTAACCCAGAATTATACACGTTCGGTACATTGCGACATAGCCATCCTGTGATGATCATGTCGTTCCGGATCCGCGTGTTGTGAGGTGTGGGATTATCAAAATGATGAGACATATTGGTTCTAATACAACTTTTATTAAGAATAACTTATATTACTTAATTCTAATTGACAACTCTTTATTTTTAAAGTGAGAGTTAACACTCAACAAACCCTGTATTCAAGTCAGATCACGTAACTAGAATATTTATCTTAATTATAATAAATAAAACCGATTCATCTAACTTCCTATACCAAAATATTACCTTTGCAAGTATCTCTCCTTCAGTGATTGAGTGATATCTATAATGTAATTGAATATGCGGTGTTTCCAACTTCTTATAATGAACTTATTTCTTCCAAAGCTATAGGACAACTAACTCTTTGATCTGAAAGATTCCACACTAAGCTATCTCTAAACTTGCCGCCCTTATCATCAAAAGCTTATCCTTTTAAAAGTATATCTCATTTACATATTATATTCGTTTATCTTCTTGGTATTGGGTTGGAAAGGTTTTGCCATTAATCGTGGCCGTCAAAGAACATAGGAGTTATGTTAGCAGAAGGACGCGAGAGACGTCACAATATTAGCCATCATTATAAATATATCATAAGAAATTTACATATCTGTGAACAGTAGTTTCTCAGAAAAGGTACATCGAACATCAAAATTTACATTTTGAAATAAATCGATTTTAATGTATACATTGAGACTTCTAATCGGCTAGAAAATAAAAAAATAAAAGGCTCAATTTACAATAAAAGATACATGTTTTGGTTTATATCAGATGTTCCACTTTTAAGCAAAAATGAAGTACTTTGTTTGCATTTTTCGCCATTCAAATGGGCGGGGCCCAGTTTCAACGATTATTTAAAAATAGGTTTTAAGGGCTTCTAATTACCCTAGAAGTTAAAATAAAATATCTTTAAAAAGGTTAAAATCTATACAATTTGGAAATGTAAAAATCTCAAATTGTCAAAAAAAAAATTATGATTTCAGCTTTCCAGCACCACTTAACACACTTTACTTGAAGTGCATTACTTCCAAAATTTAAATATATGCTGAGTAAAGATATATATTATAAGTTTCATTTAGTTAAAAAAAGATAAGCATAGCTCCTTTTTACTCTCACTCCTTTTCAACCGTTCAACCAATATTAGCGTAATATTTTTTTCGTGGAGATGCTAACCTCAGAAAGTGCGGGAAACAATCAGAGTGAATCGCATATTTGTTTTCGGTTCAGAAAGCAGAAAGTAGTATTTTTTAGAAACAAACTTAATGTTATCAGCAATCGTAACAGTTATTTTCGATGATATAACCTCTTTTTGGAAATTTATTTCAATTTTTAAAGAAATATATGGGTTAAGTAGGCTTAAGACTAATACTTTTATATCTAATCCTATTCTCTAATTTTTTAAGAAAATTTTTAAACATGTAATGTTTTATAAAAATTTTGCAATCTTATTTATTTCTGAAATCAACTTTCAAAAAGAATCCAAAACACCTTAATTTTTAGTACGTTTAATCTGTTTTATAATATTAATATACTAATGCTTAGTAAGTATTTAACAAAAACTGCGATAATTTAGTTTCTGAATGATTTCACGAGTCCGTATACTTGTATGAAAAATCTAGCTCATTATTTTTATTTTACGTGTATTAGTAATTTGGTTTCATGTACTTTTCCATAAAAAAAGTTGTAAATGTAATAAATTACAATAACATTAGACTGGTTTCAAGCCAGTCTTGCCCTAGAGCTTCATGTGTGTGTGTGAAGGCTATATTTAATCCATTGAATTAATGATTCTTAAAGTAAGATATATTTTTGTAGTAGTATACTTAATCATCAGACCAGCACCAGTTTTATGAATTTTTAGTAAATGGGCAGCACAAAATAGTATAATTATTTTATTAAATATTTCGATTCCACAAAATTCCAAATGAAGGACAAAAAGAGTATAAGGCTTTAGGTGGCTCCAAAAGGATTATTTTTGAGAGTATATTAACCCTTCAAAACATATTTTACTAGGCAAACAATATTGTCGCGTACTGATGGACGCGGGTGTAGGGGGAGGGTTCGAATAAAGATAAGAAGTTTTGAACCAGGTCACCAAAAGGGTCACTAAGTCACCAAAAATGATGCCAACGTGGCTGTATTTGTAATTCTTTAAATAATTAGTTTTAATCAATTTTTATTAATTATAATTAAATTAGTGTATAGTCATCCAAAATAATCATGTATATAAAATTTCAGCTCAATAGAGCGCTTTAAAATTTATTTTATTAGCGATTGAAAATTAGTCGAAGATAAATAAATAAATATATAGAAAGTGTGAATTAATAGTGTGTGTGTGTGTAGGAACTGGAAAAAACCCCTTAAAATTTGATCAAGAATACTAATGTTGATGCTGTTACATTTTGCTTATTTCGTTTTTAATGCTATTTTTTCATTTTTAAACTTCTGATCTCATAGTTTTAGATACATTAAAAAGTTGACTTTTGTAAGATTAACTAAATTTCGACCTTGAATTTAAGCTCAACGAAATTTGAATTTTTGAATGCGGAAACTAGTAGAAAAATTATAAACACTCTCTGTTGGCGAAAAGTCCAGAACAAACTTATATTTTGTGTAGCTTTCAATTTGACTTAATTTCTCAATATGAAAATTTAAGAAAGGCATAACTTTTAAAAAAATGCACGAAATTGGACTGAAATAAAAGTTAAAATATCTCGTGCTGCAATTGAGTTATTTAAAAATTTTGCAACGGAAATATAGTACTTACGATTTGATTCACTGTTTTTTTAAATAAAATACTAAAACATTTATAGCAGAGTGCGGTTTCGATCTACGGATCTTTGGGTTAAGAGCCCAGCACGCTTCCACTGCGCCACTCTGCTCTCGATTTCAAAGCAATTCTAAAAACTTTAAGAAACGCATCACTTTTAGACGATTTGCACGAAAATGGCCTGGAATAAAAGTTAAAATATCGCTCGGTGTAATTGAGTTATTTAAAAATTTTGCAACGGATATTTAGTACTTATAATTTGGTTTAATGTTTTTTGAATAAATATTCTTAAAAAACTATATAAGAGCGTGGTTTGGATCCACGGAACTCAAGGTTTTGAGCCCAGCACGCTTCCACTGCGCCACTCTGCTCTCGATTTCAAAGCAATTATAATAACTTTAAGAAACGCATCACTTTTAGACGATTTGCACGAAAATGGCCTGGAATAAAAGTTAAAATATCTCTCGGTGTAATTGAGTTATTTAAAAATTTTGCAACGGATATTTAGTACTTATAATTTGGTTTAATGTGTTTTGAATAAATATTCTTAAAAAACTATATAAGAGCGTGGTTTGGATCCACGGAACTCAAGGTTTTGAGCCCAGCATGCTTCCAATGCGCCACTCTGCTCTCGACTTCAGAGAAATTCTAAAACTTTAAGAAACGCATCACTTTAGACGATTTACACGAAAATGGCATGGAATAAAAGTTAAAATATCTCTCGATGTAATTGAGTTATTTAAAAATTTTGCAACGGATATATAGTACTTATATAATTTGGTTTAAAGTTTTTTAAATAAAAATTCTAAAATAATTATAGTAGAGCATGGTTTTGATCCACGGACCTCTGCGTTATGGGCCCAGAACGCTTCCATGCTTCCACTGCGACACTCTGCTCTTGACTTCAGAGAAATCCTAAAAACTTTATGAATTGCATCATTTTAGACGATTTGCACGAAAATGGCCTAGAATAAAATTTAAATTATCTATTGATGTATTGAGTTATTTAAAAATTTTGCAACTGATATATAGTGCTTACAATTTGGTTCCCTGTTTTTTAACTAAAAATTTTAAAATAATTACAGCAGATCGTGGTTTCGATCCACGGACCTCTGGGTAACCTCTCGCTTCCACTGCTCCACTCTGCTCTCGACTTTAGAGAAATTCTAAAATCTTTAAGAAACGCATCACTTTAGAAGATTTCCACGAAAATGGCCTGGATTAATGGTTAAAATTTCTCACGATGTAATTGAGTTATTTAAAAATTTTGCAACGGATATATGGTACTGTGACGGCTCACGCGGCCTTTTTCTAACATAACCTCTATGTTCTTTGAGGGCCACGATTAATGGCAAATCTTTTCCAACCCAAATCCAAGAAGTGAAACGAAGGATAGATGCAAATAAGGTAACCTTTAAAAGGACAGAAATTTTAGTAAGCATGATGGAAATTTAGAGAAAGTTCAGTGTAGAAAAGGTAGAAGTGTAAATTGACGGCCTACCCATGAATCAAATATATCTAGCCAATACCACAAGGTGCATACCGTTGTACTCGTGTCTAATGGAATATCTGAAGTTGGTTGAACCGTTGATTGGAAATTCCAGGTAGGAAGATTATTTTCCGAATTCGAAATATTATTAGGATTGAGTGTAGGTGGATATAATATAATGATATAGATAAGTGATCCAATTGCGAGATCTGTGTTAACTACGGCTACGTGTTTTGGTTTATTCTCACTTAATAATTTTGTTCGATATATAAGTAATTTAAGTTAAACTCTTAATAAAAGTCATATTAAGAATTCTAAAATGTCTCTTCATTTCGAGAATCCCACACCTCTAACTTACGCTGGAAACCCCACGATATGGTCGACAATAATTTATATGACTCTGGGTTAGGTAATGCAAGCGGTTTTGGTATTTTACCAGAAATGTGCTTTTCCGGGTCCGAGAATGTGACTGAATTTCTCGAGGCCATAGACAATCAAATAAAATTACTAGAAATACCTAGTGATTTAGCATGTTCTTATTTGAAAGGTTACCTCCGAGAAAGGGCTCAAGATTGGTATCAAATATTCGGAACAGTGTTAGTGCAGGATACCGCCACGGATTTCGCGCAGCTAAAGGCAGAGTTAGCGAAAGCTTTCCCCGCAATCAAAAATAAGAAAGAGTTAGAAGCGAGGTTTTCACTTCCCAGCAGGGAAGAAATCAGGAACCAACAGATTTTGTTTACGATTTGCTCAAAATACATAAGAGTCTAGAACTAAGGATGTCGCAGGCGGATTTGGTTGATCACATTTTTGTTAGACTCGAACCACAAGTCCAGGACTATGTGGAAGTCCAAAATCCGCAGAACACGGTACAACTTTTAGAAATCTTAGCTAAATTTGAAGAGAGGCCATTACTTTTAACAAATTAAAAAAGGAGGTTCGCAGAATAGTGATAATGTAATGGAAAGATGGGTCAAAACGCGCATAGGATGTCTAATTTTGATGATAATCGCGAAACTGGAGAAATTCTGAAGTTGGGCGTAGACCAAATAATAGCAGAAATGATTCCTAGAGGTCCTTATGAGAATGGCCGTCAAAGTAATACCGTGGTTCGAGGTAGGAATAGATTTCAGAATGATGATCGGATATTCAACGAAAGGGGATACCAATTTCGAAAAGAAGATCGAAATGATAATTTTAATAGGGGACCGCAGAAATAGGAGTTCGAGTGAGAATTTCAGTCGAGGCGATAGGGCGCAAAGGGGACGATTGAATGTTTTGAAAGTTAATGAAGTTCAAAATAATCAAAAGAAATCGGCAGTGGATACACCAATTAAACTTTCTCCGATATGTGCATATCACCAGTGAAACTTCCCTATGTTCCTATTTTATTAAATAACACATTTTTGAAAGCGCTATGGGACACCAGAGCGGAGAAATCATTATATCGGAAGAAATATATAAAAAATATTTTTTTTATAAACAAGTAAATGTAGAGCTCAGGTGATCACAGCACAGGGAGCAGAAATGTCAAAATATATAGGAATTGTAGGAGTGAATATTTGAATCAGAATTCGAAACCTTGGTTGTTTCATGTGTTGACGGATTTGGTACCCATGTATTCTTGGAGTTGTGATTTCATAAGTGGATGAAAGATTGTTTTAGACTTTGATCGAAAATCGTTGAAGATTCCCGATTCGCAGATAGAGAATTGGTTAGAAACAGTTGAAGGTAAAAATGTTGAAATAGATCTGTCTAAGACATAGTTGGAGGATAAAGCAAAAACAGGAATTACAAAATTTGTTTAGTAGTTTTAAGAGATTGTTTATCGAACAAACCAGGTCTTACTCATGTTTTTATAGCATGAAATTGATACGGGAGATGATCCACCAGTAGTTTCCAGGCCTTACAAATATGATCGGCAAAGCAGCGATACTCGATTATCATGTAGAAAAATGTTAAGAAGAAACCATTGTTCCAATTCAATCCCGTACACGCGTCACCGGTTGTGTTATGTAAGAAAAATAATGGGTTACCACCGGATAGTCGGAAGCATATAGATTTGCGGTAGACTATAGGAAACTAAATTCGATCACTAAAGTACCCGCTACCCACTTACCGTTGGTGATGATTTAATAACGAATATCCCCTATACGACAATAATGTTATCTCTTGATCTAAGAAGTGGATACTTTCAAATGGCAGTAAACCCCAGTGATATTGTTAAGACCGCATTCGTAGTAAAAAGTGGCACTTCGGCGTATGCCATTCGGCTTATCAGGGGCGGCTCCCAATTTTCAGAAGGCAATTGACCTAATCCTGAAACCGGTGATAAGGAAGTTTGTGAGTGTTTACATGGATGACGTAATTATTGCGTCTCCATCGTTCACTCACCATGTTGAGCATTTAAGGGAGGTTTTTTCGTCATTGCAAGATGCAGGATTGTGTGTGTGTGTGTGACATTATATAAGGATAAATATAAATTTGGGTGCGAGGAATTGAAGTATTTAGTATTGATTATTAGTAAGGAAGTAATCAAAACGGATGAGACAAAGGTTCGAGCCATACTCGGGAGATGAAACCACCACGGAACTCAAAGGAGGTATCCAAGTTTTTGGGTATGTCCCAGTGGTACGCGAAATTTATTAAAAATTATGCTGATCTTTGTGATATGATTATGTGATCTTTGTTGTTTGTATGCTGATCCTTTATAATCTTAAACGAAAATTAAAAAAATTCTTCTGGTCCATTGATGCGCAGAAGGCATTCGACGCGGTCAAGGCGGTTATAACAAAGGCGCCAGTTTTAAAATTGCCGGATTTTAAAAAGCCCTTCTAATTATTTACAGATGCCAGTTCAATAGGTTTGGGAGCAGTTATCAATCATTAACAAAGACCAGTTATATTTGCTTCACGTATTCTGAACAACGCGGAGAGGAATTATACGGTAACTGAAAGAGAATGTCCTAGCAGTAGTATGGGCGTTGAACAAATTCCGAACATATTTAGGTGCGATGCCAATTAAAATTATTACAGATCACGCTGCTTTAACACGTTTAACGCATGGAAAAAATTTGTCGAGTAGGATGATCAGATGGGCACTCAAATTAGCGCAATTTAATATAGAATGGGAACATAGACCTGGAACTCAAAATGCGGTGGCGGATATGTTATCTCGAAACCCGGTTGAAAGTATAATGGGAGAAAAAAATTAATTGTGCAATAATCAGAGATCTAGTACTTACGTCCGAGAACAGTTAATAACAGAGCAAAGAATGAACCAGAACTAGGTCATATCTATAGATATTTAGAAAACCCAGAACATAACTCTGTTAATGCGACGATATGTGAGAATTGGTCTCTCGACTTCCGTCTAATTGAAAGCTTGTTGTTTTATGCGAAACACGCAACGTCATTAGGTGAAATGCGTGTATACATTCCAAAGTTTTTAAGAAACAGCATCTTACGCGAATTTCACGACGAGCCAATCGCAGGGCATCTAGGCAGATTGAAAACTTATCATAAAATTCGGGACGTTTATTTATTTCCGTATATGAGAAAAATTTATTGGATCAATAATAATGCTCTACATGCCATATGTGCCAGTTAATAATTATAAAACGCGTTACCAGCTGGTCGATTACATCGGTGGAATTGTATCAATTTATCCAAATGAGATAGTTACGTTAGGTATTAGGACGCGCATCTATATCGAGAATTGAGACGTAATCGATATGTTTAGTAATTACCTATCATTTTCAACCGTGGGCTGTGGAGGAGGTACATACCTCTTAAAAGGCCTCGGCTCGTATAATAGCGGATACTTTGATAGTTTTGCCTATCGCGCTTTGGAGCTCAAATAAAAATTAATAAGTGATAACGGTCCCCAATTCTATAATAAATCTTTACGAACATTTAAGTGAAAGATTAGGCACTAGGCATGTAATGAAGACTGTTGCATATAGGCCGCAAGCAAATAGAACAGAACGAGTGATCGCGATCTGGTGCAAATGATTGCAAATTATGTAAATGATCAACACGATAGCAGGACCAATTCTTACGTGAGTTTGCTTACGCTATTCGTACGGCAGGGAATGAAACGGCAGGAAAAACCCCTTGCGGGGTATTTTTGGATTCGAAGAGTTGATTACCCCATTTCGAAAAGTGTGTGGCAATGGTTCGGAACGAAACTGAATTTGCAGTAGAAATATTGAGAAATTGTTTGATGAAGCTAGACTAAAAACAAAAACTAAACATGAAAGATGGGAAAAATATTATAATAGACGCAGGCGGGATGTACACAAAATTAAGGTAGATGACTGGGTCTTGTTAAACCTACCCTTTAGGATTCAGCGAATAAGATGTGCGTGAAATTCAAACAAAATTTTGGGTCATAGAGTGTTAAAGTAAAAAATAATAATAATATTTGCATAATATGGAGGTCAGGAAAAAGGTTAACCATCAATGTTGATCAAGTAGAATATATATCGTCATAGGAAATGGCTGACGAGGTTGAGTTAGGAACGGAGTCGCTCGAGATAGTATTGTAGTTAACGTCAGGAAACGAGTAGTTTGGAAAAACGTACATCCCGAAAGAAGAGATCAAATGGAGTGCAATATGGGAAGAAAGAAAAGAGTCTGAGGTAAAGAAAGCATTGTGTGTTGTTAGAGGAAAAAGGGATAAATCTCAAGTCAAATCAATGTAGAGAAACACACGGATAGGGCCGATAATGAATCACTTATCAGAGCACTCTACCTAGCTCTTTTTCTACGTGTGTAGACAAAATTAAAGGGAAAGCGTCAGATAGAGGAGATAAACGGTCGTATGGATTTGGGTCAAAGTGGACCACAAAGGAAGTGGCAGAAATGTGAGCCCAATAACATAAATAAAAGATCATTCTCATCAGATATTTATATAAGTAGGAAGAAGAACCGGATGGAAGCATCTGGGGTTCAAGATACAACTACAACTTGCTACCACGCAAGAAAAAGGAGCAGGAGTCCCGACCGGCCAATGGGTAAGTCAGTCAAACTAGGAACAGCCGAAGAAAACTACAGACCCTACATCAAGCAGCTTATACGGGATCAAAGAGCACCCGAGAAATGGGAAGAAGGCGAACAGTGATAGCACCTTGTCAATGGAAGTGCTACTAGTGGGGAGACAAGCCATATACAAAATCAGGTGCATTGTTTCATTTTATGTTCTTTCAACAAGTGGTCGGAAAAATTATTGCAAGAAGGATGTCTCGAGGCGGCGTTTAAAAGTTATATAATCCAAGCATAAGTTGACACTACCTGTGAGGTGTATATATTTTTGGAACTTTTGACTTGTAAAATTTTTTTTCTCAATTGATGGAGAGAAAACAATTATGTAATTATGTGTGTGCATTTTACTTCGATATATGACTTTGTGAGATGGGTAATTCCTTTGGTTATTTGTTTTAATGATTTGTGAAAATGTTTTGTAATTGTATAGTGTGTATATATATGTTGTTGTATTGTTCCGTATTAATGTACATCTGGTTCAGGGAAACGCGGCGTAGTCAGGTTACTAACAATAAAATTAACTGCGCTGCGCGACTCATAGGGAGTTTGACGGAACCAGATGCGGGGTGTACATGAAAGTTTGTTGTAATTTAAAAATGATATATAATGCATACAAATTGTGAAACATACTGGTATTATGTGAATACAGATTTTGCCAAGTAACTTAAAGAGTTTTTATTTTAGGATGACAGACCCTGAATTCCAGTGTGAAAACCCAGTCTCCAAGTCTCTTTGTAATCTCAAATGGATGGAACAACAATGGAAGATAAAATTGTATAGTAGTTTAAGTAAATATTAAGTAGTAATTAAGTAGAGTTAAGATAGTTAAGGGGTAAGCGGAACTCGTTTTTTTCAAATTCAAGTCAAGGATGGTTTCTTTCCCTGGTCCCTCCGCTAAGATGAGGTATACCCACATATGTAAAAGTGAGAATATACCATGATTAAAATGCAAAACTGTTAATGTTGGTCTAGTTAATTGAGTAAAATTTATTGTGTCTGTCAAGAGTTCAAATTAAGGAGGAATAATAAATTTTATTTTTAAGATGAATAATGAAAATAAAAGTTATTATTTAAATTATTAAGTTAAATATTATAAAAATATTATAAATATTATAAAAGATAAATATTGGAAATTAAGAGTTTAAATGAGGATTAAAGGTTAAAATTTAAATAAAACTTAGAAAGTGAGGACATTAAGTAAAATTTAGGCACGTAATTTCTTAAGAATTGCATTTGAATACTGCATAAATAACGTTTTGCTTCGTGGGAGGGATTGTGACGGTTCACGCGTCCTTTCTGTAACATAACCTCTCTGGGTTCTTTGACATTGGTCTAATGTAAAATCTTTTCAACCCAAATCAAAGAAGTGAAATGAAAGTGATATAGATGCAAATAAGATAACCTTCAAAAAGGACAGAAGTTTCAATAAGCGGGATGGCAGTTTAAGAAAGTTCTGTTAGGGAAAAGATAAGTGTAATTTGAAGCGGCTTAGCAAGGAGTCACGGATATCTAGCAACCATTACTACAAGGTGCATACACTATTGCACACCCGGCTAACAACCTATCTGAAGGTGTTTGAATCGTTGCGTGGAATTCAAGGTAGGAAAGATTATTTTTCGAATTCGTAATAATTATTAGGATTGGTAGGCGGATAATATAATTATTTCGATAAGAGATCAATTGCGCGATCTGTTTTAGTTACGGCGTGTTTTGGTTTATTCTCACTTAATATTAGTTTGTTCAATATATAAGTAATTTAGGATTGACTATTAATAAAAGTCATAGTAAAATTCTAAAATGACTCTTCATTTTTTCAGAATCCCCATACCTGTAACTTACGCTGACTCACAAAGATATGGTCGAGAAAGATCGACCATATCACAGTACTTATAAATTGGTTTAATGTTTTTTTAAATAAAAATTCTAAAATTATAGCAGAGCGTGGTTTCGATCCAAAGACCTCTGGGTTATGGGCCCAGCACGCTTCCAATGCACATCTCTGCTCTCGACTTCAAAGCATTTCTAAAAAGTTTCAGAAACGTATCACTTTTAGACGATTTGCACGAAAATAGCCTGGAATAAAAGTTAAAATATCTCTGTATGTAATTGAGTTATTTGAAAATTTGGCAACGGATATATTGTACTTATAATTTGGTTTGATGTTTTTTGAATAAAAATTTTAAAATAATTACAGCAGAGCGTGGTTTCGATCCACGGACCTCTGAGTTATGGGCCCAGCACGCTTCCACTGCGCCACTATGCTCTCGACTAACGAGCAAATCTAAAAACTTCAATAAACGCATTTCTTTAGACGATTTGCACGAAAAATGGCATGGAAAATAAAAGTTAAAATATATCTCGATGTAATTGAGTTACTTAAAAATTTTGTGTGTGCAACGAATATATAGTACTTAAAATTTTTAAAAAATTTTCTTAAATAAAAATTCTAAAAAAATTAAAGCAGAGCGTAGTTTCGATCCACGGACCTCTGGGGTTTCGGCCCAGCAACCTTCCACTGCGCCACTGTGCTCTCGACAGAACAGCAAATTTAAAAACTTTAATAAACGCTTCAATTTAGACGATTTGCACGCGAAAATGGCGGGGGGAATAAAAGTTAAAAATACTCTTGATGTAATTGAGTTATATAAAAATGTGGCAACGGATATATAGTACTTATAGTTTGGTTTAATTTTTCTTTAATAAAAATTCTAAAATAATTTTAGCAGAGCATGGTTTCGATCCACGGATCTCTGGATTATGGGCCCAGCAAGTTTCCACTGTGCCACTCTGCTCTTGGCTTCAAAGCAATTCTAAAAACTTTTAAAAACGCATCATTTTCAGACCATTTGCACGAAAATGTTCTGCAATAAAACTTAAAAAATCTCTCGATGTAATTGAGTTATTTAAAAATTTGGCAATGGATATATAGTACTTATGATTTTGTTTAATTTTTCTTAAATAAAAATTCTAAAATAATTATAGCAAAGCGTGGTTTCGATCCACGGACCTCTGGGTTATGGGCCCAGCACGCTTCACTGCGCCACTCTGCTCTCGACTAAAGAGCAATTCTAAAAACTTTAAACGCGTATCACACTTTGGGCGATTTTGCATGAATGGCCTGGAATAAAAGTTAAAATATTTCTCAATGTAATTGAGTTGCCAAAAATTTTGCAGCGGATTATATATAGTAATTATAATTTGGTTTTATTTTTCTTAAATAAAAATTCTAAAATAATGTTCGCAGAGCGTGATTTCAATCCACGGACCTCTGGGCTATTGACCCAGCACGCTTCCACTGCGCCACTATGCTCTCGACTTCAGAGCAATTTTAAAAACTTTTAAAAACGTATCACTTTCAGAAGATTTGCACGAAAATGGCCTGGAATAGAAGTTAAAAAATCTCTCGATGTAATTAAGTTATTTCAAAATTTTCTACGGATATATAGTACTTACAATTTTGTTTATTTTTCTTAAATAAAAATTTTAAAATATTTATACCAGAGCGTGGTTTCGATCCACGGACCTCTGGGTTATGGTCCCAGCACGCTTTCACTGCGCCACTCTGCTCTCCGTCTTCAAAGCAATTCTAAATACTTTAAGAAACGCATCACTTTAGACTAGTTGCACGAAAATGAGCTGAAATAAAAGTTAAAAAAAATGTCTGGATGTAATTGAGGTACTTAAAAATGTGGCAAAATATATATATAGTACTTATAATTTGGTTTAATTTTTCTTAAATAAAAATTCTAAAATAATTTTAGCAGAGCGTGGATTCGATCTACGGTCCTCTGGGTTACGGGACCAGCAACCTTCCACTGCGCCATTATGCTCTCGACTTCAGAGCAAATCTATAAAAACTTTTAAAAACGTATCATTTTTAGACGATTTGCACAAAAATTGACTGGAATAAAAGTTAAAAAATCTCTCGATGTAATCGAGTTATTTTAAAGTTTGGCAACGCATTAATAGTACATATTATTTGTTTTAATGTTTTTTAAATAAAAATTCAAAAATAATTACAGCAGAGCGTGGTTTCAATTCACGGACCTCTGGGTTTTGGGCTCAGCAACCATCCACTGCGCCACTGTGCTCTCGACTTCAGAGCAAATCTAAAAACTTTAAAAACGCATCACTTTAGGCGATTTGCACGAAAATGGCCTGGAATAAAAGTTAAAAATCTCTCGATGTAATTGAGTTATTTAAAAATTTGGCAACGGATATATCGTACTTATAATTTTAGTTAATTTTTTCTTAAATAGAAATTTTAAAATATTTATACCAGAGCGTTGTTTCGATCCATGGACCTCTGGGTTATGGGCACAGCAACCTTAAACTGCGCCACTATGTTCTCGACTTCAGAGCAAATTAAAAACTTTAAGGGTAGTCGGAAACCTCTATACCGACAATGTTAAATTGGCTGTTTTCGATGTACAATTTCTCAAAATCTGTTATATGTACGTAGCAGGGGAATTTTCATACAATTAAAATACACATTTCTCATATACTCAGAAGGTTTTTAGCTAATGTTGAATTTTTTTTCATAATTTATAAAATTTTTTTAAACATAGTTTAAGTTTGACCCGTTTCACATGAAATTTTGTAAAAAATAAGTGCGGTTTTTACAAAAGCACTTTTCAGTATATATTAGCCATCATTATAAATATATCATAAAAAATTTACATACCTTTGAACAATAGTTTTTAAGAAAAGACATCGAACATTAAAATTGACATTTTGAAAAATTGATTTTTAATTTATAATTACTTTTATTAAAACATTCCTGCTCCATAATTCAAATTATCAGCATTTTAGTATCTCGTCATCTTCTCTTCACCAAGTCTTTTTTCTTTTCTAACTTCCTTTGTTTTCTGTAAACAAGAGTATTTTGCTCGTAACAGCCTTAGTTTTTCGAGGCGCTCCATTGCCTGTATCATGTAATCACCAGGCTCAATACATAGTTTCCTCAATATTTGTAGTTTTGATACATTTCCATGTTAAATAGGAAACTGCATCATATATACCCAATGATAGAACTTCTATTTGTGCAAATGTTTTCTTCGGTACACGAGACCATATTACATTATTTTACACACTTTCGTTGGGATTTGCGTATTACCTCCATGTAAACACTTTTTGCTTAATTCTGGATTAGCTAAATCCTAAAACAGGTCGCATAGCCTCCACAACATCAACAGGTAAACTGGCACTGTGATGATAGATACGAGCAATTCTGCCTTTTAAATTTGCACCATGTCTGTATCAGATTGATAAAATCCATGCTGAGGTTTTCATCGGTCGATAGCTTGTGTAAAAATATTCCCCATATGGCTTGTACCCCAAAATTTTCGGGATGGCTAGACCATAATATGCTTGAGACGGTCGATTTTGCCTCTTAATCTATTTTTTCCGCATAAAGGTTTTTTTTGTCAAAAGTTTTTGGTTTTCATCTTGTTTCGCGTAAAACTTTCCCATTCTTTCATAAAAAACCTTATTCTAACTTCTGACAGAGCAATGGTCCCCATATCATTGTGCTGAAAAGGAAAAAACCTTGGTCCCCATCTCAAATATTTTGTATGGGAACATTATAGAAAACTGGGCCTGAAAAGGGATAGAGCCCCAGCATTATCTTACCGCTATAGCCTTCAAAATTTCTTTTAAAATTTTTAAAAAAGATGTTTTGGTTTGTTCGGACAAATACAATGTTTTAAAAAATTCAACATCAAAAACTTTCCCGGTATCAAACTGGGTGTCCACGCCATTCTTCGGGAAAAAACCCCTTCTGCCAGCTACCATCAACAGAAACAGCAATGTCCTTTTTCCCATCATTTTCATCAACTTCTTCCAAACAGCCGCCTATGTCTTTACAGGTTTTCTTGTTTCCGGAAAATTTTTTTTATAAATTTTGTGGGTGGTGGGGGAAAATTCATGATACCGCAAAAAAATCCCAGCAGACTCAGGGGTTTTACCCTTTCATCGAAGCATAAAAAGCGGTTTAGTTTATAGTTCTCGGAACTTAATTTTTTGAATTTAAAAAAAATGTAATTATATTTTCGAAAGGGCATTTTAAATGAAACTTCCGCTTCAAATACAGTTAAATTTTCTTGAGGAGCAACGGTCCTGTTTTTCACACTTTAAACATTTAAAGCTTCAAAAACACCAAGCAAAAGGTTAATGTCCCAAAAACTTTCTAAAACCCAGAAAAGTTTCATCCGAATTTTTGAAATATAAAATTTTAGAATTTTTCTCTCACGGGGTGGTTAGTTTCATTAGTACAAAACCTTTTCCCCAGCAAAATTTTTTCACAGAAAATTTTTTGGAACAGGAAATGCCTTCTACACAACCATCATTAATTTTTGCATTTTCCCCTTTATTAAAACTCCTCTTCGTTTCTAAAAAATTTTAGTTGATGCCAGGATGGCTCGATATTTTAAAAGAAAATTTTATGAAAGTTTAAGCTTAATGTTTTTGAATACTGGGAAAAAAAAAAAAAAAGAGTTTTGAAGTGTAAAAAAAACATGATTTGACCAAAAAATACGAGCCTTTAATGGGTAGGAAAAAAAAAAAAAAGGTTAATTTACAAAAAAAAGAAAAAATTTTTGTTTATACCAGACGTTTAAATTTTTTAAGCAAAAAAAACTTTGTTTTTTTTTTGCTTGTAAATGGGGGGCCGTTTCAAGATTATTTAAAAAAAAGGTTTTTTTGGGTTCTAATTACCCTAGAGTTAAAAAGGGTATTTTTGAAAGGTTTAAAAATTTAAAAATTTGAAAATGTAAAAAATTAAATTTAAAAAAATCAGATTTTTTCCTTTCCGACTGTCCTTTAAAAAACGCATCATTTAGACTATTTAAAAAGGCTGAAATAAAAGTTAAAAAAAAAATTTTGATTAATTGAGGGGGTTTAAAAATTCAAAAATTTTTTTACTTATAATTTGGTTAATTTTTTTAAATAAAAAATTTAAATAATTATAAAAGGGGTGTTTCCGATCCAGGACCTCTGGGTTTTCGGGCCCCAACCACTTTGGGCACTCTGCTCCCACCTAAGAGCCCTTAAAAAAATTTTAAAAATCATTTCAGACGATTGGGAGAAAAAAGGGCCCGGAATAAATTAAAAATATCTCTCGATGTAATTGGGGTTATTTTTAAAAAAATTTTTCCGTATATATAGTACTTATAACTTGGTTTAATTCTTTTTAAAAAAAAAATTCTAAAATAATTATAGCAGAGCGTAGTTTTATACATGGACCTCTGGGGCACCCAGCCCTTTCCCCTGGCCCCCTAGGTATCGCCCGGGGTTAAAAAAACTAAAAAACTTTAAAAAAAAGCATCACTTTAGACGTTTTACGAAAATGCGGAATAAAAATTTAAAAATTTTCTGATGTATTTGAGTTATTTAAAATTTTTTCAACGGATATATATACTTTTAATTTG